TGCCAGTAACTAGGGTTACCGGAGAGCATTAGGGCGATATTACATAACAAATTGTGCGACTAAGCAAAACCAGCTCCTCAGAACAAAGCCAGCAGCGACTGCAGGTGCCTTAACCCTGCCGAGGACCAATCAGCAGCATCGTTTAGAAGTCGACGCGGGAGTTCATTCATCGGCGTGGAAGGGCCACCGAACGTCCTTGGGCTTCGTTCCTTCCATATCCTTCCTAGTTGGCTCGGCCCCTTTCTTCTCGCGGCTCCAAGACACGAACAGCGCACGCGGCTCCATGATACGGGCGGCAGCGCAACGATGGCACGAACTCATTTGCCGCAAGGGCGCGTGCTCCTTCCAGTGAGGCCATATGGACGATGTCGGCACGAGCGCATCCCAACGAGTGCATGTTAGGCGAGGGTATTGAGCACCAGGTGCAGCACGGCCATGCCACCAGCGGCACCGAGGAGCTCGAGATCCCGGTCGAGGCACACCAGGATAACACGTCAGGACTCTAGGACGGAGGGGAGACCACTTTTTTTTTTTTTGGAAAGTGAGGGGAGACCGCTTTTGGCTTGCAACTCCTACACCTTTATCTGACATATTGATGCTAAACAGACTATGGACAGCCTGTGAGGGCTTCATCGCCAGGACGGAGTCGACGTAATCCTGGGGAAGCCTCCTCATCACTTTCTTCGTCTTCTTTGTCTTCGCCGCCGCCGCTTCGGCCTTTCCTCCGAGGAAATCGCGAAATGTAACATGCCCACCCTATCTCCGATCAAGGATTTGGTCGACATCCACGAGAAAGTGAAATGATGCGGTGCGGATTGATGTCTTCACTTTCTTCCTCTTCCCTTCTTCTTCCCCTCGACTCGAGAGATCAATCTGCGAGGAACCGTGGCGGCTGGGGCTTTGGGTCGGTTGGGCTGTGTGCTCCACCCGTCCTCTCTATTTATTGTGATTGTTGAGATCCGACGTCAGAGTCCAGCATCGGATTGGACTCCGACCCAGATTCTTTCACCTGGGCTGGGCTGGGCTGGGCTGCTCTGGGCCGCACTTGTGATAAATAAATATGATCATATGATATAAATTGACGCGACTAAATGAACATGCTAACTAAGAACTGAGTTAAGCACTTAAGCCGCCAATATGTGTGGCATGACACACATGGTGGTGTGACCCGTGGTGGAGCGCGTCCAAAAATTTAGATGGGGCAAAACATAGCTCCAAAATGTTTAGCTCCTCATGAGGCAAACAACATCATGATTCATGTCGTGCTAGCCTCACAGGGTTTGAGCAGTAGTGGCGGCGGTGACGACACAACGTGCACAACAATGGCTGAGTGGGTCAAGTTGTCTAGAGAGCCAGGCAACCAAGGAGGGAGAGAATGGGCCCTTTTTGTCGCTTTCTACTACCCTTTGTTGGCCCTACTCATGACTCATCATACAACTAGACATGGCCGCCCATGCTATCGCCACGGCAACTGGTGACTAGGGAGAAGAGAGGGGTGGGGTTCTCTGCTCTAGCGGTAGCTAGGGCAGCTATCCCACTTTGCGGCCATCAGTGATTGGGGAGAAGAGTGGGGTGGGGTTCTCTGCTCCGGCGGTAGCTAGGGCAGCTACCCCACCCTGCCATAGGGGAGCTCCACCTCTGGCTGTGACACACCTGATGCGTTCGTACATTTCTACCTTTGTTGGTCCGTATGTTTCTTGTCTCACTTGTTTTCTCAGTTCTCGTGATTTGGCTTCTTTCTTGCCTCTGGTTGTCTAACGTTCGAAGCAATGATGAGATCATATATTGGAATATGACATTTGAGGTGTATTTATTGCTGAGCTCCTAGCACCATGAGTACTTCGTTCTTTGTCTTATTTGGATTACAGGGTTTATTATTCCGGTTTTAGGCCATGTTTGAAACATGGAAACTTTTTCATGAGAAATTAAAGTGATCTGTGAATTCTATGAAATTCTTGTACATTCCTATGAAATTCTTGCATCCCAAACATGCCCTTAATATGTTGTACGTTGTCGGATCAGTCTTGATCTAAATTATGAAATGGGGACAAAATTTATCTGCCCAACGTGATTCTTGGTGTTGTTTTCCCCATTGATCATGTAGCGCATTTTTTGCCAATAGCAACGGTAGATTTGAATCAAAGAGGAAAGAGCTCAACACCAAACATAATTTCTCCCATCTGACTAATGATGCATAATTAACACTGTTTGACTATAAATTTTTCACGCTATGTGATGAGGCCAAATTCATACGCTAAGTATTTCTAATTTGCTTGCTATTATGAGAGTATGCTAATTACAAGCATTTTCTTTAACGAAAAGGTCACTTGAACCTAATATTGTTTTTAGATTAGGGAATAAAAAATATTTCGGCCTCTACATTCATGCATGAACGAGTATAGCCTTCTATTACAACTCTATGGTATTTAGACCCAACTCCATTAAACGGAACTCAAACAACACAATCAGCGGAAGGAGACTGAACAACCCAGACTCAACAAAAACAAAGGAAGCTTTAGCTCGCTATCCTTTTTTATGTCTCCACGCCATCTGCCCAAACACTTCGATGACCATAATTTCCAACCATCCTTTAAAGCCCTCTTGTCTCTTCCTCCTTAGAAAATGGAGACCACTGCTTAATCTAGTATGTCCCTCTGGAAAAATACCTGCAGGAAAGAATTAGTATTTATTGATAAGTATATTGTTTTTATGATCTATCCTGATCTATGTTATATACCCACATACTTTAATCTCTACTTGTGTAATCATTTTGTAATTACAAAGGCGTTGATAAAGCAAAACGACTACTTGTTGGCTACCATTCTTATTTCAATTTTCACTTGACCTACCATTTTATTGAATATGATCCATTAATTTAGTTCACTTCGCTATTTAGATATTGTTTGAAGTGTATTTTGATTTTTTTTCCCACTCTAGTATCAATGAACTTATTAGTAAATTTCTATTCATATATGTTGACTTTAACAATATGCACTCTGAATTAAATTGAGTAAATATCCAAATAGAAATCCGAATTTGAGGCATTCATTTTGCATTTATATTCAAAAATATTTGTATCTGTATTCAAATTCGAATTGAAATATAGTAAAAGGTGGCATCCGAATCGGATTCACACGAGCCCGGTCTGGTTCAGCTGCGTCCCTGGCTCCCTGCCTAAGGAGACGTGTGTTTGCGAGTAGAGTCCTGGCCAATCAAATCAAATGAAGTGAATCATTTCAGAAAAAAAAATCAAATGACCCAGTCCGGACCGGGCCTGGCGTATGGCCTGGCAGCCCAGCCTGGCCCAACTAGCCACGATGGCTAGCAGTTGCAGCCCGCAGCCGTTCAGTGTGGGGAATTGCTCCTGCTTACAGCGTGGGCCGTGTGGGTGACTGTGCACAACATCGCCCCGCCCGGATTGATACTGCTTCCACGATCTGGGTAGGGTGTGCCTAGACGAGCACTGCACGTCAGTACACCTGCAATTACGCTTAGACCGTCGTCAATCAAACACATACTACTATACTATATGAATAGAATTTACTCAATTTAAATTCAGAGTGCATATCGTTAAATTCAACATATATGAATAGAACAAGAGACCTCAGTACAGTACAGCTGCTAGACCTGTGACGGACTGACCGGCCATTAGTAATGCATTCAATTCCGCATCGTCGTTACAGAAATTCAAGCCCTTCGGCTGCCATGGCCGCAGCAGCAGTAACGGATGCAGGATTGCCCTTAAAACCACCTACCAGCCCAGCCACTTATGGCTCCGCCGACCGCCGGCGTCCGCCGCGGCCGTCAGAACTCACAAGACCCATGCCACTACTCGTACTGACGCCAGAAGCCGCCCAGAATTGCCAGTGCCCACTGCCCAGAGCCGTGCCTGGCTGCCTGCCGCTGCCGCTGAGGTTGAGATGAATGAAGGTGTCCTCACCATCGGTCTCACCCACCCGATGCCCTGCAGCTTGAATGAGCCTCGCCTTCATTAGGGCGTGGCGGCGTGCTGAGCGCAGTGTCATTCCCTGGTTTCCTTGCAGCTGCTCTGCTTTCCCTTCCCCAACCACATTCCCAGGTGACAACACACACCAGTACACCACCTCTGCTCATCTGCTGCTCTGCAGGGTCCATAAGTGAAGAGTGTACACCTATAGGATTATTATTAAACGAATGGACCATCACAAATCCAATCTCTCCTCGCTACAACCACTACACGTTACTGAGAAACGTAAAAGAGTAAAATACATGGTGGGTCCTCGAACTTTGAGGCAAAAGCTATCGTCTGAATCCCTAATCTACTGCTGTCACATGCCAACGGTCAAAAACCCGCCACGTCAGCGTAGTATCTGACGTAGCCTTGCCACAGTGGCAGATAGACACCGTGGCCGTACCAACTTTTCTGAAACCCCTGTCCTATTACTCTTTCCAACTCCTGGCTCCTTCCTCTCCTTGAACAAGCAAAGCAGGGGACCGTCGGTGTTCTCCGCGCCGTTGCCGTCGTTCTCGCCGCCCTCCAAGCGGCGGTCCGTCTCACGGTGGGACTAGTCAGCTGCGTCGCCCACGCCTCCATGCGGTATTCGGTGGTGAGCGAGTCCTCAACCTCGACGCTGCGGCCATCGTCCTGACTGGCATTTCCATCCACGCCCACCGCGTGCTCCGACTCTGACACGGCCGGCTTGTCACCATCGCTGCCGTCGGCCTCTCCGCTGGACCCTGATACCGACGACGAGCGCTTCTCCTTGGCTCCTCCTCGCCCTCCGGCTTCTCCCTGCCGCGTTGTTCCTCCTCCGTCCCTTCGTCGCCGCCGTTGGCCTGCGGGTCCTCCTGCGCTTCTCGGCGCAGCTGGTTCCCGGCAGCAGCGGACTGCTGCTCCGCGAGCGCGTTCTGCTCCTCCTCTCGCTGCCTCTATCCAGCGTTGCTCTCCTTCTCGATGCCGCTGTCCAGGTTCTTCTCCTCGACAGCAACGACGGCGGCACGAGCCCGCTCGTGCGGCATCTCTAGCTGCGGTTCCTGCTCCTGCTCTCGATGCTCGCGGCATCTCCTCCATGCCTGAGTTCCTGCATCCAACGACGAGGACGCGCTTGTCGCGGTACGCCTCGCCGTTGTACTCGGAGGCCAGGAGAGACAGGGCCAGCGAACTCCTGCGCGCCCTCAAACTCCGGAACGATGCGCTTGGCGTTCTCGCCCGTGGCGACGACGAGCCAGCGGTTGATGTACTCGGTGGTAGCGGCGGCAGCGGCGTCCTTGGCGGCGAGAATGTCCTCGGCGCGCACCCTCCAGAGACCCGCGTCCTGGTCGTAGCGCGCCGACGTGACGGCCTGGTTGAAGCGCGGCTCGACTCCCGAGCGGTCGGCGTAGGCCTGGAGGTAGTCGACGAACTGGCGCTTGGTAGGGTACTCCGAGCAGTGGTCCGGGAAGGGCATCCTGGGGAGCTCGCAGAACTGGCGCGGCAGGTGTAGCCGGAGTCGGTCGTAGGTGCGGCGCTGCCACAGAGAGGCGATGCAGTTGGCGCGGTCCAGCACGACGCACGGCACCCTGCGCGCCCGCAGGCCCGCCGGCCCTGCGCCCACCACAATGGGCCCATTCACCCACCCACCCGGCTCACCGGTGTCGCTGCTGCTAATGTGGCTGCCGGCATCGATCGATCAGTCTGGCTAGCTAGCGACTTGTAGACGAGTAGTATGCGCACCCTGCTGGCCGGCCGGTCGCCACCGCCGAGTCCTCTGCGGCTGGAATCGGGCACCGACCGATGCTCCCCCTGCTCTGTTCGTTCAAGGAGAGGAAGAAGGAGCCAGGAGTGAGAAAGGGAAATAGGATAGGGGTTTTTTAGAAAAATTGGCACAGCAGCGGTGTCCAGCTGCCGCTGTGGCAAGGGATCAGATGCTGGCGCTGGCGTGGCGGGTTTCCGTTGGTGTGAGATGGTAATATATTAGGGACCCAGATGATAGTTTTTTTATTTGAAGATCCAGATGAAAATGTCCCCAAAATTTAAGGACCCACCGTACATTTTACTCTAAAACAAAATTGAAGCAAACGGTAAGAGCTATAACTATCAATTAAGGCTGTGTTTAATTCTCGAAATTTGGAAATTTGGTTACTGTAGCATTTTCGTTTTTATTTGATAATTATTGTTCAATCATGGACTAATTAGATTCAAAATGTTCGTCTCGTGATTTCCAGTCAAGTTGTGCAATTAGTTTTTTTTCGTCTATATTTAATGCTCCATGCACGTATTGTAAGATTCGATGTGATGGCTACTGTAGCACTTTTTGAAAAAGTTTTTGGAAACTAAACCAGCACTAGGGGGGAAGAGTTTTACATTCCGTGATGGGCAAATCCCGAACACAACAGCAAATGCGCAAAGAACAGAAGCTACTAAAATCTGGATAAAAAACAATCTCTTATGTTTTATTAGATTTTATGCCTCTGTATTAAAATCCTCTATAATCCTAACATATTTGGATAGGATTCTAGAATTTTGATATTTTGTTTTATCCCCGTTCTTAAAATCTCCGAGGATCCAAACGGGACTTAAGAAGGCAGTTGGCGGTGTGCCCTTCTATATAAAATTGGCCTGCTTAATTGTCACCATTTGTTCCTCAAACTAGAGTAATGGGGTGTTTTGATCCAAGGACTAAAGTTTAGTTCCTGTCACGTCTAAACATGAGCTGATTATAAAAACTAATTGTACAGATGGAGATTAATTTGCTAGGCGAATCTATTAAGTCTAATTAACCTATCCTTAGCACATGTTTACTATAGCACCACATTATCAAATCATGGATTAATTAGGTTTAACAAATTCGTCTGTAAATTTGTTTCCACCTGTGCAATTAGTTTTGTAATTAGTCTATGTTTAATACTTTAAATTAGTGTCTAAACATTCGACGTGACAGATACTTAATACTACAATCACTGTTAACATATAGGGTGGGGGTAAAAGAACCCAAAACAACGTAGACATTCATGATCGGGGATGCTGAAGAGCAATCCATTCAAACTAAGCAGTCAGTCTAACGCATAGTTCGCGTCAACCGAAGGTTAAGCAAAGCGCATGCCAAACACAAAATGGTATAGCACGGTGCAGAAGTGAAAAAAAGATTACGAACCACGATACTTTTTTAGACCAATGATTCAGCCCAGCTCTATGAACCCCTGATCCGATCCCGAACCACAATACTGAGAAGCAATCCATTTAAAATAAAAATTTTAATATCCATGATAATAATTTAATGTAAGTTGTTACTTTAGAAAAGAAAAGAAAAGCTTATGCGTTTTGCTATTTATATTGACATTATGGTACAGTACACTTTTCAACCTACAAATTGCAAGTCAGTTCGGTTTTGAACTCTGAACTACAAAATCGGGTAATGGACACCCTCCAATTGTAAAAACCGGACGAATTTGGTTCTTTGATTGGTTTCATAGGTGGTTTCTGTTTTCTAAAAAAATCTGGTTTCTAATTTTATTCTACAAATGTTATCCTCTTATTTAAGATCTCTATATATTTTTTAGGGAAATAGGAGGGGGTGCCCCCATACTATGCTTTTATTGAAATTTAAATAAGATCTCTATATATTATTTGGAACATGTTTATTTCTGTTCCTATTGCTTTATTACTTTATCATTGTCGTGCTTAATATTTATTTAAAACAAATAAGATCAAAATAACTCTGAACCAACAAATAGATAACCTTTTTAAAAGAAGTCAGAACTAGTATAATATTTTTTTTCCTTGTTTAGAATAAATTAATTATCATTTTTAGAGATCAAACGACCTATGAATCCAAGTTAGGTCTTGTTTGGATGTTGTCAGATTCACCTCAATCAATATATGTTAAAGTGGATTGAGGTGAAATTTAGTTTAAGTTTTACTCCAATCCACCCCAATATCTATGGATTGATGTGAATCCGGCTGTATCTAAACAAGGCCTTTTGGGGGGGGGGGGTATCCGTTACCAGGTTTCTTAGTTTAGGTTGAAAACTAGAATGACGTGTAAGCTGGAGGTTGAGAAATGTGCGTTACCACCACACACATATAATTCTTTGATAGAGTAAATCTTAAATCTATCCTTTAAATTTTAACACTTACTTTACATAGGAGTATATACATTATTAAAGTTGTTTGTCAATGCCAATGCCAATGCAGGTCTTCCCGTCTGTTTGCCGGAAGCAGCACATTGCTGAGGATGCAATCATACAACACCACCATCCCCATCGGATGAGAAGATGAACACGACAGACATGAGATCAAACCAAACACTGTGCACCGTGTGTGCTTTGTGGTGAGGCTGAGGCTGAGGCTGCTCTACTCTTCCCGGCTTCCCCTTCCCCGAATGGGTTTGGCACGTCCAACAACCACGCCGGACTATCATCATCACTCCCCCAAAGGCCAAAACCAGGGCAGATCGATGTCGCAGTAGCTTTTGTGCAGGTCCAAGGCTGGGCTGAGCTGAGCTGAGCCGAGCCGCAACAAGGCTTTCTTTCTTTCCGACCTGCTGACCTGCCAGTAGGCCACTTACAAGCTACCCCAACAAGAGAAGAAGAGACAAGCATCAGGGCACGGCTTCTGCTGCGAGAAAAGGACTCTTCATTGCTGGGGGACCTCTCCTCTCCTCTAGCTGGGACAAGAAAAGATAGGGAAAGCAGCACAGGGCACAAAAGCTTTGCAGACTTGCAGGCTTGCAGCAACAGCAGCCAGCAGGAGAGAAGACCCATTCCCCAATCCCCATCATGGAAAATGTCAAGACTCAAGAGAGGCACACCAGCACACCACAGACACAGCAAGCAACTCCCCGTCTCTACATTCGTTCTTTAGGTAGTGCTACAGGCAAAAAGTTTAATATCAATTCGATATCTTCTTCAACAACCAGACCCAAAAGAGAATCCTTTCTGTAAATGAGTTTTCAGGAGAGAGGATGCCCATATTTTGGTTGTGCCTCTCAGACAACCCAAAATAAGTCTCCCGTATAGATTCTCTGTTGGAGGCTGATTTTGGTTCTTGCTGCCCATTTTAGATTTAGGTGTTCATATAAGTCCCTCGTTGGAGATACTCTTTATCTCTCTTCTCTAGGGACGCTGGGATGAGATCACGAGATGAGTGCCTTTTATTTGCTTCCCTCACCCTCCATAACGAGGGACAGTCCTGCAAATGGCATGCCCCCACCCCCAGTGGCTGTGGGGCCAAGCAAAAGGCTTTTTGTTCAAGCCAAGCCATCCATGAATGTGATGGTCTCCTCCAACATTGGCTGATAACCCAGTTTGGAAATGTGACTAGGAAGCAAAGCATAGCTAAGCTAAAGGTAGGGGCCAGTGCCACTAACTAGCAACAATTTTTTCTATCTTAAAAAAAGATACTAGCAACAATTCCCTCCTGCCCCACTTCTGATCTCAAGTTCTCAACACCAACAGCAACACTTGTAATTGTAAACTAAACAGGCAAAACGCAGTCGACTAGTAGTTTGCATACTAAATAATGCACGCTCGGAGAGGCGGTTCTAATCTGAATGCGCTAATTAAACAAAGTAGTCAAGTGAGATCGCTTGATGGGGACGGTGAATTAACAAAATACGTCCCCATACACTCATCAGACATCACTTTATGGAATGTGCATGACTGACCAGGTAAAGAAATAGTGGTCAGAATGTCAAGACGCAAGAATTGACACGCTAGGGGGGGGGGGGGCGGCTGTTTGGTGAGAAGCTGAAAACGATGTTAGAAGGAGACAGCGCATATCCACACTAGTAGAAAGCGTGGAACTCCACCAAAGAACAGTACTAGTAGTATCAAGACACTGAAATTAGCAGTAAAGTACAACTCCAGAAGGCTATGGAAAGGCACTGAAATTAGCGGGAACACTCTTTTTTTTTATGGAAAGCCAGTGGGAACAGTTGAACATGGACTAGTACTATAGTTTCAGTTTTAGACATGGTCACATGGATCTTTTTTTCTTTTTGGCAAAAAAATGTATAAACATGGAATTAGGATCCCATTGATCTAGCCGCAAATACTTGGTGGCTACTTCCCTGACAAACTATGCTACATTCTCAGCAAGAATCTTAACTAAAACGCATAAAGGGCAGCAGATAGTCTATGTGATGAACAGTGATTAAATAAAAAAGAGCAAAATTAAAAACAAGGACTAACTGGTGATACATTGCTGAAACAAAACGATGGACAGCTGAACAAGATCTACCATTTAAACTAATTAAGCTTACATCAGTAACTATCACTATGAATGGATCTACTCCAGCAATTAGTTTTCGCTTTCTTATCTCAGAACTGATGACCAACCAAATCGAGCAGCTAGCTACAGATGCAAAAGAACTGGCGGAACAGAACCTCTGAAGCCGTAAAGAAGATCTACCACTGGGTAACTAACAATGATTTACTAGCTCTGTAGTAGTAGTAACAAACAACTCTC